AGGTCATGCCTCCTCCACCCACTGGTATTTAAGCAAAAGCCTGGGGCCAAGCCTCCTTCCACTCTTATAACAGAGAGAGAAAGTAAAATAACAAAGACCCAGGAAATCACCCAGGCTCCAGGCTGGAGCACAAGTGTGTCAGATCTCCTGGCCTGACCTTAGGTCACATTTTCCCCACACAAATCTTATTAAAGCTTCATCAGTACTGAGGTCATTTCATCTGAGGACTCAATCAGAGGGAATCTGAGACACTCAGGCTCACAGAAAGCTCCTGGGATGACTCAGCCCCCTGCCTGGCACTCCTGTCACTCTTAGCTTGAGATGCAAAGAGGAGTCCTGGGCTGGGGTGCTTACCTTTAAACTCAGGGAGCCTGGTGGTCTGTGTGCTGTGCTTTTCATGTTCCTGCCTCTGGGCACCACTTTGCTGTTTGTGCTGCCTTCCTGTTGGCAGACGCTCCTGGGTGGGCCCTCCTGTGACCATCAGGAAAGGTAGCTGCCTCTCTTCTGCCACTGGACGTCCATTTGCAAGACTCAGCTCATCCAGAGGAGAGCACAGCTGAGCTTTCCCTAGACTCGCTACCCGCAGGAGCTGGGGGCTTAAGAACTCGGTGTTTTAAACCTACTGAGTTTTATTCTCTTCAAAAAAAAAAAAAAGTAATAAGAACTGTGGGAGTAATAAAACCCAAAATATGTAATTGTTATTGTAAAAAAGAGAGGAAAAGAAAGTGCTCTAAAGGATATAACTGCATTCTTGTAATCCACAAACGAGCCCCCAAGCTTGAGTTCAAAAAATGAGACAAAAACATGTTTTAAAAAGCAGTGCTGATTTATTTTACCCTGGGCCCAGTGACACAGGGCAGCTGGAGACTGCAAAAGCTGTGTGTCCTTCCTGTACCCTTGTTGCCCCCCACCCCAGTACCTATCACAGCTCCCAAAGTAAAGGTCATGGGCATGGATCAGGAGATAGGCTAATGGAGAAGATCCTGTTTTCCTCAGCAGAGAATAGAGAAGTCTAGCAGCAATTAACAACCTTTGTTTTCCTTAGGAGAGGACAGGGAAGTCAATTCTTTACAGAGGAGAGCACTGATTAACATATCAGTTAGGTCACCCAGAGGGAGAAGGGGGAAGGGAAACATATATAGAGTATGGCCACATTACTGGTATTTTGGTATGATACAAATATAACAAAGTTATTTTTTCTAGAGTACAACATGCATGTATATTTAAGTGTGTAAGATAGAAAACCATATTACTAAGTTTTTGTTGGATCATTGAACGCAACTGTTTGTGGTCTCACTGTTTGAATGTCCACTTTGTATGCTTTAATTTTGTAATTTGAACAAGTATTTCTAGGATGACAATATGTAACCTGTTAACTAGTGATTTCTTACTGTTTATTTTTTTGAAATTCTGTATTACTTGTACCCTCTTACTGTTTTGTTTTTCTCTTTAAATAAAAAAAAATAAATAAAAAAAAAAAAACCCTGCTGAGTTCTGGAGGCCAATGGATATCTAACACAAGCCGAGGGCCCCTCGCCGTGGTGTTTTGCAGTGATTGAAGGTTTCCATCCTCCTATGTGGTATCTGTCATATGGACTCCAAAAATTCACAGATGTTTGTCACTTTCACTTTTTGAGGTTGAAACATTTCTTCACTAATGAACAGCTGACTTTAGCCTCCCTCTCAACCCAGCGAGACACACACGGTCTGCGACCCGCACTCTGCACCACACTGTCCACACTGAGGTCTTTTGTTTCCAGAACACTTGCGCCAAACACATTTCCACTTCTTGCCTGGCTCCTCCTCCCCCAGCTCCGCTCCTGCTGCTCCACCCTCTTCTTTCAGATCCTGGGGACTGAACCCCAGCCTTTGCACTGTACCCCAGGCTTTTTTATCTTTTAGTTTTGAGACTAGGTCTTTCTAAATTGCTAAACTGCCCTGCCCAGGCTGTTCTGGAACTTGAGATTCTTCCGCCTCAGCTTCCTCAGTCCCCACCTGGGGTTTCAGGTGTGTGCGAGCAAGCCTGGCTTTCTCCTCATCGGTAAGTCTTTGCTCTAAAGTCTCCCCATTGGGAAGAATTTCCTTAAAATTACGGTGCCCCTTTTCCTAACTCCTTATTCTGTTTTATTGTTCCTTAAAATTTGCCCTAATTTCACCACATGTTGGTTCTCACTGGAGTGACAGCTCTGTGAGGGCCGAGCTCTCTCTCTCTTTAGCCCTCAGGTACTGAGGTGTGCTGGGTGCCCAGAGCAATGCCTGGCAATTAATAACTGCTCAGCAAACATTTATACATGTGAACTCAGATGAAGTTATTTCAAAGAAACTTATTTTACAATATCAGTTGTTCCAGGGAAAAAATGAATTTCCTATTACTTGAATTTCCTAATTCATAGGATTTGAAAATACAGGATCTGTGTTCTCAGTTCTTGTAAGCAACAGTAAGAGAAACTTTACAGGCTTGAATGAGTTATAAGAAAGACTAGGTGAAGAGGGAAAGACAGAAAGAAAAGAAGGAAGGAAAGAAAGAAAGACAAAATGCAAATGACCTGTCGGAATTCTGTAGAATAAATTCTGATCTGTGAAGTTATCATCTAATTAAATATGTATCACTTTATCCAGGTTGTGCCTTCTCACAGACTCCTGTGCCTTTGCTCGTGCCTCCTAGAACAGATAGATGTACATGCTTTTTATTATCAGTTCTTCCTTCAGGGAACCCCATTACTCACTATTTGTAGTAAAAGCTAAAGATACACATCAGGAGTTGGTTCCAAGATCTAAAGCAATGCATCTGGGGGTCTTGTCCGAGGTACAGGAACAGATTCTCACACATGGGGAGGACCAGTGTCACGGCCACAGGACCCGGAAGGAGCAGGTGTGGGAGGGGCTGCTGCTGGCCCATGTTCACACACCCGTCCCCACACTGTCTAGCCAGGCCAGGTCCCAGAGGACACAGCCTTGCTCCTCTGCTCTGTGCACCGAGCAGGATGTAAACTCAGCACTGCAGACAGAACCTCATGAGATTGCTGACCCAGATGTATTTGTTTCCATAACAAAATACCTGAGACAATTAATTCACTGAGGTTTATTCTGGGTCAGGGTGCTGTAGGTCCCAGTCCAACGCTGGGCAGCCTCATTCCCGCAGACCTTCGGCAAGAAGGGATGTGGTATGTGGCAGGGCAAACCACTGGCGTCCTGCCTGGGGAAGCAGAGTCACTGCCCTGAGCCAGTTCCCACAGCCCCTGGCCTTCCAGAGCCCACCGTCCCACAGTGGCCCACCCCACCCAGGAGCCCTGGGGCCACTCAGCATCCGTGTGAGCACCAGTCCTGCTTCCACTTTGCTTTGTGTGAGGAGAACTGAGGGCTGCTGCTTGCTGCTCTGCGGGTGGCAGCTCATGACCGAGGAGCTCAAGTGTTCATAGACGAGCTGCTATAAGGGGAAGGAGAAGAAAAGCAAAGCAAAGCAAGGCAGAGTCAGAGCACACTCCCCACTCAGCCATGCACTTCTGGGATGGAAATGCCCCACCCCAACCCTGTGCACTTCAGTTTGTTAGCTGCCCAGGTCACAGTTCCTGCTCCACTTCCAGCTGCTCCTGTCTCTTAGACATGGCTGGTCCCTGGGATGCATAGCTGGTCGCTGTGATGGACACTGCATAAACCAATCCCCAACTGACAAGCCATTCTGCCTCTGTGCTTCCTGTTTGCTCCTCCCATATAAGCCCTAGACCACCAGAGACCAGGGCCTGAAATTCTGGGAATGACCCTGATCAGTGCCTGTTGATGTAAATAAATCTGCTCCAGATCTGGGTGTCGTTTGGTGTTTCTGCTCACCATTGCATTTCCTGCACACCCCACTTTCCGAGGAGCAGAGCTGCCTTGTACCCACAGTCCCCCTCAACAAATGATAGCAAACACGTGAGCCTCTTCGTGAACCCTCCAACCTGCAGCCAGACCATCCCATTCACTCCTCTGCTGTTTCTCTTGCTCTTTCATGCAGTCCATCCCTAGGACTGGTTAATATGCTGTTGCTGTAGACAGCTAAGTGAGGTGGAAATGTTACAGGCAGTCAGACAGAGGCTCGGCTCCAGGGGAGTCAAGAGGAAAGGTGAAAACCTACTATAGCTATGCCCTGAGACAAAAGGACCTGGCCCCCACACTCCCTGGAGATGAGATAAGCCACAGTGCCTGGTGTAACAAGGTCTAGATCAGCACTGGTCACCTCAGTGGGCCCCCAAAGCCCCAGCTCCATCACCTGAGAAGCTCTTCGATCTTTCCATGCCCTCTCCCTGCGTGACCTGCTTCCCCATTGATCAGTATTACCTAAGCCTTATTAGTTGATCACAGCTGGAACCCACATTGTACCTTGGTGGGTTTTGCTCCATAGTTTCCCTGGACAGTGGGGTCCCTGGCTACCCATTCGGGCCCCCTCCTGACCCTCTGACAAGAGCTTTCCATCTCCTGAGAAACATTTCCTACTCCACACCTCCCTTGTTCCTAGAATTCATTCTTCAACTTTTAGAGAACAGAAACTTGGCATACCTGACACCTAGCAGGTTGGGAGCTATCATATTTCCCTTATATTGCATTAGAAGATCTGCTATGACCCTGGACCAATGTAAAATGATTTGAAAAGATAACGAATAAATAAATAAATAAAATAAAGCAAGGAGAAGAAAGCGTGAGGGCTGGCTCAGGAAGCACCCAGCCTCTGCCTGGGTGTTGATGGGAATTACCTAAAAGTGCACCCCAGTTGAGGAAGTGGGCGTCCTCTCTGCCCTCCTTTGCAAAGAGAAGACAGGGCCTCCATGTAGGGGAGGCGGGCACGTTTATGCACAGCTGTCACCTCGAGCCTGGGATCCGTGACCACTGTCACGGCTCAGGTGAGAACGAGCAGTGTAGAAATTCAGAGCTAAGGTCCACACACTTTCAAAGAAGCTGGAGAGAAGTTAGGAGCTGGATTCTGCGGGGAGCGAGGGCGCCCCCTACTGGGCTCCGGGCTCCTCGCAAGGGGGAAAAGTGAAACCAGAAAGGCAGAAGCTCGGGGCGAGCGCGGGGAGAGGGGTGCAAACAGCGGAGCGCAGGGGAGCGGAAGGGGCAGGAGGAGAACGGAACGGAGGAGGAGGCCGCGATGGCCCCGCGCTGGCTCTGCCTCCTGTGCTGCTGCTGCTGCTGCCTCGGCCCCGGCGACACCCGCGACCCTGATGCCGCCGCCCCAGGGAGCCCCGGACACAGGGCCGCCGCCTTCCGGGTAGGAGTGGCCCCATCCCTCCTGCGGCCCCCGCTGCCCCCTCCTGTGCCCGCTGTGCCTTCCTGTCCTCTCTGACCCTTCCTCTCCCTCCCTGTCTCCTCCTATCCCCTCCTGTCCCCTTTTGCCTCCTCTGTCCACTCCTCTCCCCTCCTGTCCTCTCCTGCCTCCTCCTGGCCCTTCTGACCCCTCTTGTCCTCTCCCCGCCTGTCCCCTCCTGCCCCCTGTCCCCTTCTGCCCTCTCTGTCCCTTCCTGTCCTCTCCTGTCCCCTCCTGCCCCCTACTGCCCTCTCTGTCCTCTCCCCACCCCTCTTGTCCCCTTCTGCCCTTTCCTGTCCCCTCCTGTCCCCTCTTGGCCCTTCTGACCCCTCTTGTCCTCTCCTCTCCCCTCCTGTCCCCTCCTGCCCCCTCTGTCCCTCCTGCCCTCTCTATCCCTTCCTGTCCTCTCCTCTCGCCTCCTGTCCCCTTCTGCCCTCCCTGTCCCCTCCTGTCCTCTCCTCTCCCCTCCTGTCCCCTCCTGCCCCCTCTGTCCCCTCTCTGTCCCTTCCTGTCCTCTCCTCACCCCTCTTGTCCCCTTCTGCCCTTTCCTGTCTCCTCCTATCCTCTCTGTCTCTTCCTCTCCCTCCCTGTCCCCTACTTTCCCCTCCTGTCCTCTCCTGCCCCCTCCTGTCCCCTCTGGCCCCTCCTGTCCTCTCCTCTCCCCTCCTGTCCCCTTGTGCCCTCTCCTGTCCCCTCCTATCCTCTCTATCTCTTCCTCTCCCTCTCTGTCCCCTCCTCTCCCCGCCCCCCCTCCTCTCTCCTCCTCTCCCCTCTACCCCTCTGTCCCCTGCTGTTGCTGGTTCCCGAGCTCCCCTGCAGCCCCAGCTCTCCATTCTCCCACCGTGGGGTCTGCCTCTGGGATAGAACCAGGCTCTTGCTAAAATCCATGACTGAAGCCTAGAGCATAAGGAAGCTGGGCTCCATATAGTTAAATACAGTTTATTTGTGCAAATGTTATGGGTGATAAAAGCATAAAATCCTTGGAAATACCTTTGAGCGTGTAAAACAGAAAGTGTGCTGCTCCCCTGAAGTGTGACACCAGGGTGGCTAGATGCTGTACAGGCTGGGAGACTGAGCCTTGTGGGAGGATGAGACACGCTGAAAATCTGGGTGCACTTTGTAAAACCCAGGCCCGGGAAGACTGAGAAACGTTTGCAAAATTCCTGCCCTCAGAGTCTGGTGAGGTAAATGCCCAGGATGGAGAGCGTTTGGGTTTCAAAGCTAGGGACCCCTCATGGCACTGGCATTCAGGCAGCTGGTAGGACTGAGGACAGGGCAGGACCGGGGACAGGGCGGGACACGGGCAGAGTTGCAGAGTACCTCGCTTCCTGGGTTCCCCTGAGCAGTTACAAGGCTTTCTTCTAGCCACAGAAAAGATTAAAATATTCAACAATTAAAGTTCCAGCATAACTGTAGAAATTTTATTTTATTGTTTTATTGAAGAGCAGAATATATTGATTGAGAGAAAGAAAGCTTCCATCCGAGAGAGACACAAGGGGTCCGAGTGAGTGGCCAAGGACCCCACCTTTTCTAGGGATTTCCAAAGAGCAAAGCCGCGAGGTGAGGCTGGTCCACGTGGGGAAACCTGGGAACTCGCAAGGCAGGCAGGAGTGAGGTGGGACAGATGGCTAGTGTTGGTTGGCCAACAAGATGGCCAGTGTAACTGCTCAGGTAAAACTGATTAAATTGGGATCAGATGGGGAGGCGTGGCAAGCAGCAGGGATACAGAACAGGGTCTTTGCTGGTAGGGGTTGGATTAATGGCTCCTTCTGGTTTCCTCAAGGTGATCCACACCTGTTTAGAATTCCCCTCCCTGATGTTTATACTTAACGATGGCGGTGAGTTGTTTTGCCTTTTGTCTTGAGCCCTGGCCCACAGCAGAGGTGTCTGTCTCCTCCACTGTTGCAAGGTGTCTGGTCTCCTGTGCTGGCTCCTGCCAGGCCGGCCCTGTCTGGCTGCCTGTGACATTTCTAACTTAACTCAGCTGCCTGTACCATTCCCCCTCTCAGAGATCTGTCATCATCTATTATTCCCTCATGGCAGTCCGAGATAAAAACTTTATTTTTACAAAAATACGTTAACATATGAGTTGGTGAGTTTGAGACTTGCTGCTGTTCACCAACGGAGTAAATCAGGTATAAAATACAGAAAATCTCCATGTTGCGTGATAAAGTAAATTTAAAATAAAAAAGAAACAAGTTTTAAAAGTAAAATAGGAGAGCAAATGCTCTGGGGCGTTAGGGAGAACCTGTGAATTACAGCATGGAAAAGGAGTCAGCCTCGAGGACCCTGAGCTGCCGCGTTGTCCTGCTAAGGATCAGCGAGTAGCCAACAATGTTTGCAGACTCCAGCGACAGCGTCCACTGAAGCATGAGGTGGCAGCGTTTTCAGGCAACAGTGCCTGCCTGGATACTAAAGTCCTTGTGGCCTTGGGTTTTGGAGGGCAGGGGAGGTTTTGCTGTTGTTGCAGCCATGGTTGGCATCCGTGGTGCCCCTCTTGTGTCTCCAGCCTGCAGGCTGTAGGCGGTGGTCCTGGCAGGTGGCAGTTGTGTCACCAGTGCCCTGGAGAAGACATCACCCACTCCCTCAGTTTCCTCCCCTTGCTTGGCATCCACTGCCGCATGTGCCTGCCGTGGCCTCCAGAGCTGCCCCACAGGGCCAGCCTGACTGAGGCCACAAGCCCAGCCAGGCTTTCCTTCCTGAAACTGGTTTATCTCATGCAATTTCTCAGCAGTGGATGGCTAACTGATGCCAGCACCCGTGTCCTGCTCAGAGTTCCCCGGGGCACAGTGTACGTGAAAGTCAGGCGGTACCTGTAACATTTTCTCAAATACTATTATTGCTGCAAAGCCATGGGTGCCAGGCTCAGCGGTGGCTGTAGTGTGGGGCTGGTAGCCCTCTTTCTAGTAGGCAGTGGGATCTGTTTTAAAGAGAGGTTGAGCTGGGGGCATGGCCTGAGAGGGTGAGGTTTGAGGTTGGGTCGGGTTAGTGTTGGTGTTAACTTAGTGTTAGTGTTACGATTAGGGAGGTCAGAGTGAGGGGCAGGGTTAAGTTTAGGGTTAAAGAGTTGAACCCTTCGAGATTCCTTCCTTAACTCTGAGCTTCCTGGAAGCCATGAAGTGAGCAGCTTTCCCTTCTGCCCAGCCCCTTCTCCCTGTTGTTTCTGTGTGGACCGGAACTGTTTCCTTCTTTAAACTGTGGGTGTGGGGTGCTTTTCCTTAGCAATGAGAAAAATGACCAAAGACATCTGTGGCATTGCCTTTCATAGTTGCTGTAGAGAAATAATCCTCTCTGCTTCTCCCTTGAAGAAAAAATTTCCTTTCCATTCTGATTTCAGTCTGGAAAGAATTTCCTGTCCTTAACAAAATACCCTAACCAGACAAGCACAGAAAAGACTACTTAGGGTATCTCTCGGTTAGATTTTGTATTAAGAATATGATCACACACATGCTTCACACACTTGCACACACAAGCCCACACACACCCAGGAAGAACTTTAAGAAATTCTAGCTCTTAGAAGTCACTATAAAGGTAGCAGCATCTTACAGAGTCAGGGTTTTAAGTTATAATGTTGGTCAGAGGAATTTAGGTTACACAATATCTTTTAGTTCTATGAAATTTGTTTTCCCTAGATTATAATCAGTGAATCATTTCTAAAGTTTTCTTCAACCCTGAGAAATCCCCCCAGGAATCTTATAAATCTCATTGTAGCTCAGTGAATTAAATATTTAATTAAATAAATACATGAAGGTAGGTTTTTTTCACCAGATCTGTTCAAAGAATTTTTTGATTGGCAGTTCTGATTTTTCTCACATAAGAGCTAATCCTCAGTTTTTGTGCTTTGAAACTATGAGTGAAAAGCTTTCTCTAGATGCCTTAAAGCACTGCATCTTTTTTACTTGAACAGTTCAGCTCTAGGACTAAAGGGTATATAGCTCAGTACTGGAGCACAAGGCTTAGTGCGTGTGAGATCCCCAGTTCAGTCAGCATCAGAACCAGGTTACAAAACTTTGATTTCATGTTTTATGGCTTTAGGGGTAACTACTCTGCACTTTCTCCCTCTGAGGCCACTCCTTATCTCCCTCTCCTTATGTCCTCTACTGCCTTCTGTGAACCAGATGATCGACTCTTTATCTGTGCTGATGCTATACTGGGTCAGTATCTGGAGACCCAGGTGCCTAATATAGACCCACACTGTGTGAGCTGCCATGAAACCCACTTGAATAGCCAGAGTCCAGGTCAGCCAGGAAAGTTGCTTGAAAAATAGATCATTCAAGAAATGAAATTTTAAAAATTTCAATAATTTTATAATATGTGACTAGGTTAGATGGACGTGGTGTGTGTTCTACTATTATAGAAAATAGGAAAATAAGTTTTGGGTATACTACAGTGACTCGTAGTTAAACATAAATAGAAAATGAGTCCTTATTTCAAATACCATGAGAAAACTTGTCCACTTTAACCCAAGTAAGACTGAAAGTGTGCTATTTATATGCTGTTTACTATAACCCAAATATTCTATGTCTTTTTTTTCCAAGTAAGCATTTCTATTGATTCAACATATTGTGAAATTCAATGAGACATACGTGGAAATAATCCTTCCTCAATTTTGAGTGTATAAAATCCTTCTGAAAAGGAAAAAGTCACTAAAGAAAAAAGAAGCTCGAACATAAAAAATAGAGACTCTATTCTTCCAGCCACTGTAGTGTTTTCCAAATTTTTTCCTTATTCAATCTGTAAGGTCAAAGTGTTTGAGTATAAGTTAAAGATTTTGCAGCAAGAGTTTTCAGGGATTGAAAGAAAGAAAGAAAGAAAGACTTCTGATGCACACACAGCCACTCTCCTCCAAGTGTACTGTAGACATGTACCAAAAAAGGATTTCACAGCAATAGTAAGCTCGCTTCAAATTTAGAGACTAAAGGGAGCCAGCCCTGCACACGGCTGCATGTGTGTGCACGGCTGTGCTTTGTTCGGAGCCCCCCAGGGAAGCACGCTGAACGATATTAGGTAGTCTTGCAGGGTCAGGAGAGGAGTATGGTAGTAATGGAGAAGGGGTGGAACTGAGTGCTTTGAGGTTACAGCATTTTGCTCTTGCCAAGAAGCGAACAACGTGATGGCCCAGCCCTGGGCCCTGAGACATGAAATAGTGGCAGGTTTTCTTGCTCTGGCACGGCATTCAAGACCGTGGAATGTCTTCAGAGGCTTGAACATAAGCCAGGAGCAACATTTCCATCCTCCTGAAATACCTGCGCTGCATACAATGAAGAGCTAGAAACAGTGGTACCAAATGAGAGTGAGTGTGTGGGGAAAGGTTTTTCTCTTCAAATGTGCAAGACCGGAAATAAGTAACTGTTCCTGGAATCATCACTGAAAACCAGAGTTGTAATCTTTCTTTCTTTCTTTTTAGCTTTGCTTTTGAAATCTTACTTGGGGTTTCTGAGGTACAGAGACACTTTCTGTAGTTATTGCTATCAATTTTGACATTATTTCTCTTTTAATATCCAATTACAAATGACCTTGTCAGGTTATTTGTTTGTTCAAAAAATAAGTTAGAATCTCAATTGGGGTGATATTTAGTCTATAGATCAATTTGGGGGCAATCACTGCTAAAATCAATATTAAATTGTCCACACAATGAATGGCATAGGTCACCTTTAATTATAAACTCTGTCCATCTCATTTTGTAATATATTGTATATTTAAGTATCCAAATCTTAAATATGTTTGTTAAATGTATTCATTTAGAAGTGTTTAAAAATTCACTTAATTTTAAATATTCATTAAAAATTTTTAAATTTCATTTTCTAGTAGTTTTTGGTCATCATAAAAATACAATTAGTCATTGATATTGATCTTGTGTCTCTTACAAACTTGGTAAAATTTACTTATTTATAGCATTTTTGCCCATTTCCTTGTGCTTTGTACGAAAAGTGTTTTAATTACTTTTCTCATTGCTGAGACAAAATACATGACACCCACAACTTCAAGGAGGAAGAGTTTATTCTGGCTCACAGTTTTAGAGGTTTCAGTCCATAGTTGGCTGGTTCCAAGGAAGGGCAACATGGTAGAGGACCATCACAGAGGAGAAACAGTCCAGGCAGGGTAGGCAGGAGGTCTTCCAGACAGTTATCCCATCCTGGGTACTAGTCTGTTAGATGGTGCCAACCACACCCAGGATACACCTTCCCATTACTCACCCCCTGAATTATGCTAAACCAATCATTCAGTGAACTGAGTTAGTTATCACAGATCCTTTACCCACCCATGCCTCCCAAAAGCTCCTCCTAGGAGTGCATGAGGCTTTGAGGGGATGCTAGATACAAGCCATAACAATTTGTTTTCTTTAAATATGGACAACTTTACTTCTACTTTTAAAAATTATGTTCTATTTTTTTCTGTTGCTTTATTGAAAAGAATGAGTCTTCTAGGATGTTTGTGAAGTAAAAGTAATAAAAATATACCTTCTACTCTGAAGAAGAAATCACTGAGAACTTTAGCATTAAGAAAATATGAGTTTTCCTGCATCTACTCAATCAGGTGAAAGAAGTGTTATTTCAGTCTTAGAATTTGCTGATAATTTTTATCAGGAATAGTTTTGAATTTTGCCAAGTATTTTTTGTACATTTATTTAAACATACTGTGTTTCATTCTCCCTTATTCAATTAATGTGGTATAGTCTGTGGATTGATTTTGAAATATTAAACAACAGCATTTTCAGTGAACTTCCTTTGACATAATGTATTGTTCTTGTGATGTATGTTGAATTTGATTTGCTAATACCTTGTTCAAGACCTTGCAACTATATTCATGAGAGCTATTGGTAAGACACTTTGTTGATACACCTTCTTCTGGTTCAGAATCAAGGTAACATTGTCCTATTTAAATTGCAAAGTATTCCTTTATATTTCATTTTCTATAAGGTTGGTAACATTTCTTTCTTTTGTATAGTATAGATTTCACCATTGAGCCATCTGGGCTTGGAGTTTTCTTTGTGAGTCGGCTTTCAATTACAATTTTAATGCCTTTAGTTGGTAAAAGGTTGTTCCAGTTTCCCATTACTCTTATTTTTACTCTTGGTAATCTGTTTTTCAGGAAATTTGTCAGTTCCATTAATGTTGTCCGAATTGTTGGCACCAAGTTTTTGGTACACTGTAATGCTGACACTTGAAATGTGTGGTCATGATCTTTCTTTCATTCCTGACATTGGTCATTTGTGTCTTTTTCTTCTCTCCTTTTAATCACAGGAGCGATGCCTGTGGGGGTGGGTAAGGGAAGCTGTCCTCCAGCAAGGTGACCTTGAACCTGAGTGAAAGAAAGGAAAGCCTGTGTCCTGCAGGGAGGCTTGCAGGGTGGGCGAGGCCACTAGGGAGTCATGGGTCAAAACCCAGCTGTCAGAGCCATCCATGTCTCCTCCAGTCACCTGCCTCCATCATCAGCGAGGGGCAGTGGAGGGGCCCCCGGCTTCTCTGTGTGTGAAGGTGGCAACTGCCAGCAGCCAGTAAGTGTGGGCTCCAGAGACACAGATTCTATGAGGTGTGGCTGGGGCTGCCACACCCTGCTCATGCCCTGTGCCCTCAGCCAACAGATAAACAATTATTCTAAGAATGCTCAATAAAGAGAGGGAAATGATCAGGGCAACTACCAGAAATTATTTATTTAAAAGTGTCATTGGCCTAATTGTTAGGTGACAAATAGCCACTGAGGAGCTACTGCGTGTGCACTGGGTGTCCAGACCCCAGGGATGACTAAGATCAACAAACTCGCCCACATTTTGTGACTTGATTTTTGAGAAACACAAATAATAAACATGCAAGTACATTGAACAATATAGGAAAGAACCAAACTCGGAAACTTACCAAAGGAGAATGTCTGAACTTCCATTAACCTACATGATTTAGAAAACCTAACAACCTTTCTAGAAAAGACAAACCTAACATAAATTGTAACAAAGTTCAGAGTTTATAAATCTGCAGCTGGTTACATTTTTCCCTCCAGATAGGAAAACCAAGCAGTCTTCCTGGAAGACTCCCAGAATTGCATCCGTTTCACAAAGGCTTTTGGGCCACAGGAGCTGGAGCTATCCAAGCTTTTAAAGAGTTAGACCCATTGGGTCCTTTCTTAATGCTTCTTTACTCAGTGCTGGGAAAACAGAAATGAGGAAGATGATTCCACATATACATATCTGATTAATAGCAGGAGGAGTTATCGGTAAGAAACAGTTTCCCGCTAGTGGCCAGAGTTTGCCTGCTATTTGTCTGTACTCTAACCATGCGTATGCACTACTCTCAGTGTAAGCGGTGAAGAGGAAACATAAATTGATAAAATCCTTGTTCAGCCTTTAAAATATAAATACACAGTGGTTTTCAATAGGAAGTGTTTATAAATATGATGTCTCATACTAACATGCGGAAAATCAAGCTTTGTGTTTTGCACCCAAGATTTGCCATTTCTGCCAAAGAACAGCTGCAAGCTAATTATGCAAGAGATTGCTGTGGAAAGTTTATGTGGTGTATGTAAAATGTTCTTTTTTTTGTTTTAGGAAAGTCTTAAGAGACATCGATACTTGAATTCTTTGTTTCCTCATGAAAATTCCACTGCTTTTTATGGAATAAATCAGTTTTCTTACTTGTTTCCCGAAGAGTTTAAAGGTATGGTCTAGAAGCACTATTATTTTTTCATTTCCTGATTTAAAATTCTTTGCTTAATTTTTGAGGCATTGTTTCATTGTAAATCTGGCAAATCAAGTAATAGTGGAGGTTTATTAAATGCTTACCCACTACTATGTATCAAGCAGATACTGTGTCCTGATTTTAAGAAAAGTTTATTTCTGGCCCCTCTGTACTAATTATTGCTTAAGAACTGAACACTGTCATGGCACACATACTCAGGCAGCTGTAAAGAAGCTGGCCATAAGCACCTCTATTAGGGCATCGTGCATTCGTGAGTTACAGTGAGGGAAATGTCAGTTGAGCTCATTTTTTGTTACTGACCTGAATCTATCACACAAGTCAGTTTGTATGTCAGCTTCAACCTAATTGTAGGAATTTTCTATTATAGCTTTCAGTAGAAGGCATTTCATGTTTTAGAAAATCACAGAGGAAACTTTCAAATGTCAGATTTACCACAAAGCGTCTATTTTTGCTTAAAACCTTGATCCAGAGAGAAGACTCCTGCGGGTCCTCCTTGTAATGCCCTGTGGGTTGTCTTCTCATTTCCTCTCTCCACTCAGCCATTTATTTAAGAAGCAAACCTTCCAGGTCCCCCAGATACCCATCAAAAGTACAGACCTCCGTTGGCAGCGTGTCTTTGCCACCAAGATTTGACTGGAGGGACAAGCATGTCGTGACACAAGTGAGAAACCAGCAGGCGGTAAGTTTCAGGTTCTTTCTGTCATTTGTGAAGAAGTGGAAAGCACTTCTGAGGTCAATTTCGACCAAACTTGGAAAAAAACACAAGTAAAAGTGCAACTCAGTCCTTCAAAAACGCCCAGGAAGGAAGGATGTTGGAGGAATAAGAGGCAGGTGTCAAAGCCTGGCTTTTATTTCTGAAGATAAATCTGCCTGGGTTTGTCCACTGGTTAATGCCATTTCTGCCAAGATGCTCTCTCGGGGATGCCTCCCCATCCTTACACCAAAGATACCACACCTGGTAGCAGGTAGCAAGGCAGTGAAGGGGAACATGACCACCAACTGCTTAAGTAATTCAGAAGGAAAATTCAGAAGGTGAAGCCCCATACGTTCACCCGGCAGCATCCCAGATCTGCAGGGATCTCAGCTTCATCCTGTGAGCTGCATCAGAAAACCACCCACCTTCTCACTCCCTATGGCATCATTCTTTCCCAGTTCAATTCAGGATCCTTAAAAGTTTGGTCAGCTCAACCGTAAGGTGACACATACATTTCTAAAATCACCAGCTGTGCAAAATTGTATGATACAGTGACAGAGCTGTGGTAGACATCAGGTTAGAGAGCATGTTTAAAAGCCATCATGATGCATCTTGAAAGCTGGTGGGAAACTAATAAACATGTAGCACAACTTTGCAGATACTGAATGACTAAGAAATACACAAGAAGAAAGGAGGAAAGGTGGGTGGAGCTCCAGGCACTGTCTCCAGGAAAGGGGCTACTAGTAACGCAGGCCGAGCTCAGGGACCAGAGACCTCTGGAGACCATCGGTTATTCCAGGTGCCATCAGGATCTCTGACAATCCACTGCATCTTATAGTAGTTAATGCACGGAAGCGATAGGGCTAATTAATCTATAACATTCAGAAACTGATGTTCAAAAGAGAACTGTTTACTTCTTGTTTTGAACTTGAAGAACTAGAGAAGAGACCTGTGTATTTTGCAGATTTCCACACTCTGGGAATTTGGTGGAATTTCATAGATTGTCATATTTAGAGATGCTGCTTTATAATCGATATTGTGCCTTCTCTGCTTTTGCACAGTGCGGGGGCTGCTGGGCATTCAGCGTGGTGGGTGCAGTGGAGTCTGCGTGGGCCATTCGGGGGGAGCCTTTGGAAGACCTAAGTGCCCAGCAGGTAATCGACTGCTCCTATAATAATTTCGGATGCAATGGAGGCTCACCCCTCAGTGCCTTGACCTGGCTGAAGAAGGTAATCAGGCTCTCGGCCTTGGGATTCCCGATATCCTCTTTTCCTGTTGTATTTTGCACAAAATTCCAATCACTCCACAGATGAAACAATGTTTCCACAGTCCAACATTTAGATGGGCAAAGCTTTAATTGTCAAAAGATTTAATAATTAATTTCTTCCATGCAAATTAACTATCAAGTTATCAAAGGGTGAGCAAAGTTATCTGAAATCTGTTTCACTCCTTGATCAGTAATTCTTTTTTTTTAAGATATGTATTACATAATGTCCCACAAACATGAAAGTCTGTTATTATCCATTTCCATAGAACTTTTAAATTCTAAATGGAAACACAGGTTAGAGACCGTCTAACTGTAACACTTTCTAGATGAAGAAATGAGAACCAAGCCTTGCAGTTGCTTTGCTGCATCAGTTGCAGAACCAGAAGTGTGCGACCAGCCACTGCCCCACGTTAGGGCTTTGCTCAGGACACTCCTGGGTCCTCAGTTTCCTCTGGCATTAATTTGCATCCAGGCTCAACTGCATGAAAGCATCCAGTAATGGTACTGTGGTGGTTTTATAAAAAATTCACCAAGCCAGGACTCCCCAAGCCTTCCATTGTCCACTCGCTGCATTTTGAATCAGAAGCCGCTACGGACCGTGGTAAACTGTGTCCTCTCCATTCAGATAAGCCCGGAATGCAGGACAGGATTCTGTGCAGACAAAGATGTGACACATGCTGATGGACGGCACGAGGGGGAGGGGCAGGAAAAAGGCCTGGCCTCAGTCTCATCTGAGTGTGGACGCCTGTGCTGCTCTCAAAATTGGCTCCCTCAGTGGACGCCAGGGAGGAAGATTCCCCACCAGGAACTCAGCAGAGGGCTGGAAGTTCGGGGAAAATATAGGTACAAGAGAAGAAGGAGCAGATCAGACAAAAATGTAGTCACTGTAGTTGTCTAGGACATCACTAACAAGCTCCTGAGGTTGTAACTTAGGATCTTAACCCGGTGGGCGCATGGCAATAGGGGAAGTTAAACCATTTTGACTGCTAAAGGAAACTATCTGACCCAAAATGACTGGCACGTAACCACTTTGGGTGTTTTGTTTTTGTTTTCTAGACACGAGTAAAACTGGTAAAAGACTCAGAATACCCATTTAAAGCACAGAATGGCCTGTGTCATTACTTTTCCAGCTCACACCCTGGATTTTCAATCCAAGATTATGCTGCATATGACTTCAGGTAAATATCTTCCCCTGTTGCTATTCTTAATGTGGATCCATTGACTTTTCAGAATGAATAATTTGATCCAAGGCTTCGTCATATACTCTTGTTTAAAGTATTTCTTCTTTTTCATTCCTACACATTTGCAGTACATGTTTATGTCCTTTGCAGGGGATTGGCATATGTACAGCCATGCTGGATTACTTTTTAAATTCCCTTCCCTCCCTCCCTGCTCCACCCCTTGATCTTCTGTTGTTTTGTTTATTTTGGGCACGGTACATATTCACAATACACAATATTTACATTTTTGTGTGGAGTTGGTACCTGTTGTACATGACTTATCTTAATTCTTTTTACATCTCCTGTTCTCTCTTGTTTATCTTTTCTTTTCCTTATATTTAATTTGATTCTTATGTTGCTAGCATATAAATGATACCTCTGTTTTTATGGTGATGTCACATGTTGTGTCTTTGACATATCACAACCTATGTAGATTAATATTATTTCTTTTTCTCAATCTTCATGCTTCTCTCATGTTATCTCTATTACTGGGTCATTGATATGATATATTTACACTGTATCTTTATTCGCTTAATTAGGTGAAGACAAACCTGCTGGTTAATACAGATTATCATATATTTCACATTTTAATAACAAAATATTAAATGAATTTGAAGAATGAGTTCCACACTGTACACCCAAATGTATGCTGAATAGGATCATTTTTAAGTGGCATAAATAAAAAGTGTTTTACAAGGTTAGAGTATAATGTTTCACGTGAGTGATGCCTAGCTAACAGCGGAACTATATAATTTTATGTTGATGCTGATTCTTCATGACTGGGGTAAAAAATATAGTGTACAGCTGGTATTTGAACCCAGATTTGGGTTAAACTCTATTCATTCTGCTTTTGAAAAGTTTTATAATTTTGCATGTTTTGTTATAATGAATTCCAAGTATTAGAGCAAAATTTACAAGGTTCTGCTCATAGGCCTATAAAAAACACATTTCAAGTTACTAGGTTACATGATTGTGTATGTAAATGAATGTGGAATTCCTATTTTAACAACTCCCATTTTTATGCAGTCAGAATTTCCCTCATTTGTGGATAAAATACCTCTTGCTAGAAACTGCTCTCCAGCTGGGCATAGTTACTTGCTCTTTTAAGCCATGCATGTATCACAGCTTGCTGGAACAATGAACTACCAAATGCTCCCTGAGCTGTCCGTAACTTGGTTTCAATGTCCTTCACCCATAAAGTTGACCTGTGAAAAATGTAAATAATGGATTAATCATATACTTTCAAGATGGATAAAGCCCAAATGTGCAACTTAAGATTTTTGCCAGTAGATGTCCATAATAATTGTACAAGCAGTAATTATCGCTTTTGTAGTCTTGGCTACGTAGCCAAGACTACATAGTTTTTCTGGCACCTTACATTTCTTCTTTATCTTTTAAGGCACACCCTCTTTTGTGTGATTCTGTTGCTTCTTTGGGTAACTGTCCCCTGAAGTTCCCATATTCACTAGCATGTGTTTGTCAGGCTCTTACGTCCATCTGTGACATAGATGATGAAGTATTTCTAAGTATCTAGGCTGTGTACTTTCATTATTAGAGACTTCCTGTATTTTAAGCAGGTACTTTTACAGCAGGCTGTAAAGTGATTTCCTGTCTTCCTTTAGGCTACGCTTAGCCGTGTGTCTGCGCTCTGGTCAGTGGGACCCGTGCCCGCACACACAGAGCCCCCCTGTACTTCCCCTGGAAGCCTCCTCTGTACAGATGAAGGGCTGTCCCTTTCCCTTCCCTGATGTCTGAAGTATGTGTGAAATGGCTCAGGCTCCCGCAGCCCTTCTGGCCTATGACACCTTGAGAATTGGAGCTTTGGGTAGTAAAAAGAAAAGAAGGGGCAAGACGAGGTGAGGTGAGGCAAGAAAAAGGAAAAGGAGTGAGTCTGGATTTCTGGAATCTTCCATCCACATACAGTTCTGAAACACCTCTTTCCCAGATTTCTAGACATTTTTTGAGCCTCTGTTAATCTTCTAATTGAAACCAGACCTACTTCTAATCATACACAGATCGAAAAGGTAGCTTTTATTTTTGCCATGATGGCTAAATTCCCCACCCAAGGATTTTCTCTTTGACAGTGCCCAAGAGGACGAGATGGCCCGAGTGCTACTGCTGTCCGGCCCGTTGGTGGTGATCGTGGACGCGGTGAGCTGGCAGGACTACCTGGGCGGTGTCATCCAGCACCACTGCTCCAGCGGCGAGGCCAACCATGCAGTGCTGGTCACCGGCTTTGATCAGACAGGTGGGTGCCTCCCAGCCGTGGCCACTTCCGGACCCGGCACTGCCCGATCACCAATGCGCCAGGGATTTTCCGCGTGTGCACGCCGCGGTGTCTCGTGGCTTCTGCCTTTGCATTTGTAGTCAGGGTGACTTCTGTTTCTGTGCCAGGAATGGAACTCGGGGCCTTGTACGTGACAGGCCAGCCCTGTACCACTGACCAGAACCTGGATCCAGATAGTGAAATTTCACTTAAATAACATGCATCCTCTAGCTGGAATACTTACGATAATTGTTGGGGGGAAAGTGCTTATTAACTGATCGTGCAAAGTAATCATTCTTCCTTTTCCTTTCCTCATTGTTTGTTTTCATTTTGTTGAGTCTCTGAGTTGAGCAAGAGGAATTCAAACATATGTTTCTCATGATTAAAGTGTGACGCTAATCCTGCCCACTTAGCTAGTTTGTTGGGGCTGATAAACATAATGTGTGTAATACAAATGTAAATTATTATGTTATTACATTTGTACATTTGCAATGCCTTTATATGACATATATAAAATCACATATATGTGTATATATTCAATCATACATTACATTCATCGTCTTTTTCTCAGAGCTGCTAGACCCCTAGAACCCCAATCTGAGGCTGGAAGCTGCATTTGTGAGTTTTGCAGGTCTGTGCCACCCTGTGTTTTGCAGGCAGCACCCCGTACTGGATCGTACGCAACTCGTGGGGGAGCTCCTGGGGAGTGGACGGCTACGCCTATGTGAAAATGAGAAGCAACGTCTGTGGTGGGTCGTGAGTTTGTGCTTCAGCCTTTATGCTAAATATCAAGCAGGATTCTCAGAATATAAAAGTGCACACTAATATGCTCATTATTGAAAGAATTTCCGTATTTTAAGTAGATACTTTGCCAGCCAGATATAAAACTATTTCCTGTCTTCCTTTAGGCTACATTTAGCCATATGCCTGCATTCTGGCCAATGAGTTCCATGCTCACATTTACAGATGAGTTCTGTATTATTTCTGGGAAGTCTTTTCTATATGTTATATATTACAAAACTATCTAGTTTATAAAATGTTTCTAATTCACTCATAATACTGTTTGTTGTACTAATATTTTTCCTTTAACCAGTTGGAAATAATAAAAGAATTTTTTTAAAAAAGCACTATTATACAGATTCACATTTTCAAAAGGAGGACGAACTGAAGTGGAAAAATTTTATATATATATATAAATATAAATATATATAATATATAAATATATAAATATATATATATAAATTTATAAATTACACATATATTTCACATGCATATGTCAAAATATAAGATAAAGTAATAATTTTACCAGAATTAACTACTTCAAAAACCAGATAAACATTCAAGTTAGGGGACTGAATTTCTCCACAGATGCCTTACTATTCCTAATTTACTTTTTATATTTTTCCAAATTTATATATTATAATACTTGTTCAATGATTATAAATAATCGCTAAGGATATAGCTGAACAGAGCACAAGCCTAGCACATGTGAGGTGTGAGGTCCTAGGCTAGATCCCCAGCTCTGAAGAGAAGGAGGGAGAGAAGGAGGAGGGGAGGCTGAAGAGGAAGAGAGAGGAGAAGAAAAAGAAAGAGAAAAAGAAGAAAGGGAGTGAAGGAGAAAGAGACTAAAGGAAGAGGAAAAAGGAAAGGAGAGAAAGGAAATGGGGAAGAAAGAAAAAATGATGAGTCGATTTTTCTTGCATCAAAATGTGAAAACCTGAGTATTATGATTTTTTTCTGACTTGATATGCTCCTTATAACCTAAAAAATTCTAGCAACAGGATGTAGCTTACTTTTTGGTCAAATACCAACATTGTTTTTAATAGCAAACTTTTTAAAATTAATTGTTACCAAACTAAAGTAGTTGAGTATTTTAAATGTTATTCTAAAACCTATATTCAAAGGTTCATTCTAAAACTTAGATTTGGAAAATCAACCTACTTCCTAAATCAAACTGCACCCAAACTGAATTACAGCTGGAAATAATCCTGACTGCGATCAGTTGAACACAGTATACCACTTTTTCAAAATTGTAGATCCTTCCAGATTTGGAAATAAGTTGCAGGAAAAATTTCAAGAGAAAGTTCTGGTTCAATCTAGTGACTACTTTCTGATTGTTCTATGAAGTAGAATTCTTTTCATAAGTTGTTTATTGAAGAGAGTCAGCATCACTGACAACTCTTGGCAAGAGCATTGACAATCTAATGAGCCGTTGCTTTGCAGCATCACTGGGCGTGTTTCTGTGGTTAGATACATTACCGCCTCTGCTGCCGACAGTGCTGTCTATGGAAATCATTGGTGCCTGGACTTTCACTGTTTCTAAAACTCTGGCCAGGAAGTCACAAGAATAGTATTCAAGTATCATTTCATAATTGCCTCAGTTATGATTCCACATCTTTGCCTGGCCCTTAGCTACCCAGGATGAGTTGGGAGAATGTCTTCTACCTGCTTTGACAATTTGAATCTCCAAGTGTCTGCCTGGTTAATTAATACACAGGGGTCCAAATCTTTCCTGAGAATGTTGCCTGAAATTTGTCCACTCATGGTCATATTTCTCATATGAACAATGGCATAAGGCAGAGAGTATTCCATAGCCCCAATAAAATTTCTAAGAATAACACCTCCTCTTCAAATGGGCTAATTACTGCTTTGCTGTTGCGCTGAGGTCTGTGTTGCAGGCTGTTAGGGTATTATAGCACATCTGTGGTTCAGTGAAACTTTGCTTAAGTTTAAACTTTACTTTGAATTTTAAATTATGTTTGAAATAATACAGAAGCTTTTAATTGCCTTTAAGAAAGATGGTATAAATAAGTGCAGTATTGGTCTTAAATGCATTTGCCTATTCAGTTAACAAGTAGTTTTCTTTGGTTTGGTTTCTGAAAATAAAAATATCAGGCATCTCTTCCTACATCTACTTTGGAGGTAACAGTTTTCTCTAACAGGTAGAGATACTTCTAAACCCACATGAAAATTAAGTTTTAACCTGCTATTTTAAAAAACACCTAAAGAGGAAATGAATTGAAACTAGTATTTTTTTTTCCTTCCTTAGGTATTGCAGACTCTGTTTCTGCCGTATTTGTGTGATTTGTTGGGGACATGAGAACGCAGTAAGGAAAATAAAACCTATGCCACCTAACAAAGGTATTTTACGTTAAGCATGACTCACCTTCAAGCTTTGGCAACTGCTTATGGAAGTGTCTCGTGGTTGGTCCAATCTACAATAAGTTGCAGAAGCCTCCTCCTTGGAGAGGTGGACCCCAAAACCCCTCTGGACCCCTCAGGGGAGTTGCGGTACTCAGCCAGCAAGATCTGTGTCTGTTTCCCACTCTAGAAGGAAGTGGGACGAGATGCTCCTTCAGGGTCTTCCAACTGGAAGAAGTCAACATCTGCTGATTTTCATTTTAACATGGAACTTTGTACAGGTCTGATCAAGGAGGTGGTAGTTGTTCATTTTCCTTCATGGGATGCAACGTGTAGACTGACATTACCCTTCTCCTTCTTGAGAACATGGGCCTCAGGCTGGGAGCCTCACAGGAACCTCAGCAGCATTCCAAGAGGCAACCATGTTGTCAAGAGCTGGACGCTGGTTGCTTTACTCACCTCATAGTGCTCACCTTTGAACCGAAGGGGACGACGGACAAAGGAAGACAGAGACATGAAAATTATTTTCTGAAAATTTTCATTGTCAGCAGAAATCTAACAGATACAGTTTTTTAGATTCTTCTGTCTGCATTACAGAACAAAGTATTCTTCCATGCTCACTCACTGTCTTTTACTCTTTACAGCATCTTTCCCAAATGTGCCTGCTGGTTTGGTTTCCCTGACTGAAGAATTGATCTTGTACCTCGCTTTCTATGTTGATTTTCTCCTTACTTAATAGGTTTCCTTTAGCAACACCAGGAGCACACCTGGCTGCCTGCCGTGAGCCTTTCAAGTTTCTTTTCCCATATCATTCAAAACAAGGGGGAAAAATGTGACATACCCCAGGTTCTCTGACTTCTGTTTTCTGCTTTGATCGCCTGGTCTCTGTCAGCTCTTGCTTTGTGCTTCCCTTCTCCTTTTGAGTGGCCCATGGGGCTCAGTGCCTGTTGTCCTCCCTGTGTCCGATTCTGTAAGTGACACAGATGGATGCACTGCAAGGAACTTTCCTCCTCAGCAGTTATTAATAATGGACTGTGCCTAGAAAGGACATGTGGGGCTCATACCCATACCCTGCAGCAAGGATGGGAGCACTTCTTGTGTGGTGGTGTTCTAAGACCCTCAGCAAGTATTTTACCACATAGGTACAGTTTCATCAAAACATTTCTTGACATTGTAATCAAATCCACTATTTTTCTGAGAAAACAAATGTATATTTTATATTGAAAAAAGAAACTCAAAATAAAAAACTGATCTTTTAATCAAATATAAGGACAAGTCACAAAAGTTAATATAAAATCATATCAGATACTATATCTGTAAATATATCTTCCCTAAAATTTGTGAGATTTGGTGTTCTTGTTTTGTTTTTCTCGTTTTGGTTGAATCCAGGGTCTTTGCACTGAACTAAGACTTTTTTTTGCATTTTCATTTTGAAACAGGGTGTCACTACATTGTTAAGTTTCCCAGGCTGGGCTCAAACTTCCAATCCTCCTGCCTTGGCCTTCCAGGGTGCTGGAATTACTATGTGTGGTACCATTTCCAATTAATGATTGTTTTATAATGTAGAAGAGGTTTACCAAATAAAACTTTACAGGAGGTAGCAACATTAGGAATGAATTCTAGAAATTCCATTGTTCCATATCATTTTTCATATGATTTATCCTTTTATTAGAAAAGCAAAATGAAAATCAAACTCTTTTTCTTACACTGACCAGAAGCAATCTCAAAATAATGTTGAACTCAGGTTCAGAAGTGTTCCTGGAAGATAAACACTGGCATTTCAGTTGACCTATAATATCCAGATACACAAGAAAAGAATTAAATCCTGTTTGTTCTAATATGGTTAGGTCATTACCTTTTTATATGTTATAAAAATGCTTCTCTAGTATTTTTTCAAACACTGAAGAATTATTAAGAATTTCAAAATGGTTACTTCTCAGACTTTCTGGATTTTGGTGGAAGTTATAATAAAAAAATTGCTCCAACAAAAACTTTGTTCTCCAGAGCATGGTTTACATTTTATCAACATAGTACTAGCACCTTTCCATTCAGACACAGTTTCCTCGTCTCCAGTGTCATATATTTGATTTTCAGCTTTCCACACTCACAATAACCTTAGTGACTACAAACTGCATCTATCATGCCCCTCATTCCTTGCTTCAGAGCAACAACACCAACAACAAATCTACTGAGTTCATAGAGTCCCTGTTTTGGTTGGCAGCATCAATATATAATTGGTCAGTAAGATTAAATTTTAATTAATCTGGCCATGCACATCTTGAGAGACCTTCACATGACTGCCTGCCTCCTCTGGCCACTTTCTGTCCTTCCTTGGAGGTGTGGCCTTCAGACAGTCTTGTCTCCACTGCCTCACTATTTTCTGTCCCCAAGAGTTTCTGAGGACAAGGCTTATATGCAAGGGCAAGCATTTCAATGCAAGTCCAGATGGTCATAACCCAAAAGGAAAGGAACACAAAAGATTTTAACAAAATGTTGCAGGAAACTGTTTTGAAATGATTAACCTCAGCTCCAAGGATGGAGAGCTACAGGGCTGTCAGTCCAAGTTTGAACAGGCAGTCGCTAGCAGGCGTCCTCGCGGAAGTGTGTTTTGTGTAAAGTTATGGGGAACCTTTGTGCATGTGCAGTTATGGCAGTCTTCTGTGACAACTCTTGCTGTCAGGCATATGTTCACGGATTTCTTCCTTCCTATTGGCTTGTCTTCGTTTTTTATTAGAGTTTGTCCCAAGTGACTCTGTTTCTTTGTCAGTTTTCACTATTAAGTAAATTGCATGGGCCAGGTATGTTCTCAAAGTATAGTCCCTAGAGCAGAATCTTGGTGATTCTAGAGGATGTTAACGATTCATTTACTGTATTCCCCTGAGAGATACAACTCTAAAAAACATGATCATATCATTCCTGAATTTTAAATGACTCAGAAGCTCTCCACTGCCCATGCATGAGAACACAGATCTTTCAAGGAGCTTCCATGAGGAAAGGCTTTCTCTGTCCCTTCCCACGTAGGCATAGGCAGTGCCAGCTGCCATCCAAAGGCAAAGCAGTGGGGCTGAGGATTTAGCTCAGCGGCATAAGAGCCTGCCTTGTAAAGCAGGCAGTTGTGAGTTTGATCCCCGGTACCGATAAAAAGGAAAAAAAAAAAAAAAAAAAAAAAAAAAAGGTAAAGCAGTGATCTCCTCATCTCAGAGTCCCTACACCAGGAAAATCACCAGAGGGTACTTGGATGTGGTTTCACAAGGATTTCAAATGCTGAGTATTAAATTAAAATGTTAATCAGCCAGTCTTACTGTGATTGGCTAATTCATTTAATAGCTATAATTTAAAGGGTTTTGAGTGGGATAGCTCAGTGGAACACTTATTCAGCTTGTCCAGCATACACAGTGTCCTGAGTTCTATTCCTAGTATCAAAATACAAAAAAAAAAAAAAAAAAAAAAAAAAAAAGAAAGAAAAGAAGCAAAGCAAAAAGTTACAAGTTAAAGTAATCACCAGTACTCCCCAGAAGCAAGTTGCAGTGGGGTTAAGCACAGGAACTGTCATTATTATAAGTCCTTTTGATAATTACAATAAGAATTACTGACTTATCCTTTAAGCAAAACTTACAACTGGGTAGATTAGTCACACCAAAATTATAGACATGAAGAGTTAAGTTAAATCATACCATCTATAGGAAGAATGGTATATCTTGACACATAGCATTTATTTCAAGGTTCCAGGGTATTTTAGTGGGAGAATATTTATTAACATTCTTCATGACTTTGTGAGAGGAAAAAAACTTGTAGGTACTTCTATTCCCAGTTAGACAGAAAATCAGAGATTACGCAGGTGATTTTTCCACAGTAGAGAGTAAATGAATGGGGAAGATGGAAACAGAATTCGCTCTGAAGGTGTCTGATTTCAAACTCACTTGCTTAGCCTGGGAAGTGCTGGTGTCTGTAACTCAGCCCCATCACCACGGGCAGTGCACACATGCCTGCGGCAGGCACATGGAGGACCGTGCAGGTGTGAAGCTGACCAAGCACCTACGGTTGTCCCTCAGCATTCATGGGGGACTCGTCCTGAGATTGCATCCTGCCCCACAGGCATCAGAGTTCTTCAGCCACCTCTTTGAGGGCCCCCTTGGAGTCTGGGAACCAAAGGATGATCATCCGGTCAACCCCTCCCAACAAGCCTCAGGTAAGCTTCTTCCATTAATCACCCAGACTTAACAAGTACAGCATTTCAAAAACAACTAAATGTATTATTTTATTCCATTTGCTCCAAAAATTTCTGCACAGAATGACACATTTTATTGGTTAAAAGCCTATAGAGTATGAATCAATACAATAGTTATATTTAGTAGATACATTAAGGTAAGCACCAGGGGAAACTGAGCTTTTAGTAGCAAAATACCCTCGGTATGATGTTACCATTGAACTAAATTGTTTTTCATCTTAATGCTTATATCACCACAAACATGAGACAATTATTTCCAGAATCAAATCAGAAGATCATAGTGTTTAACTGTATATTACAAATACATTACATTATCAAATATACCACATTTACTCTACATGTGTTTAGGAAAATTCAGAAAATAAAAAATACATTGGGATATTAATATTCTTTACAGATTCTTCCATATGAACTTAGTCCGAATCATCACTGCTGAAGTAAGAACTGTCACAGTATTCTGCAGTGTAAAGGAATTTATGAATGATTGGGTTCATCTTTGGTATCCAGTGTCTGGGAACCAGATACGTTGAAAGATTGAATAAATCCACAAACACCTTGTACCTGTCACTGAAAAGACATATACACAGATCATTAGATTTGTCGATATGAAATATTTAAAAATTTCTCCTCATACTTGTCTTGGGTATTTTACCATAAATGACTAATGTTCAAAATTATATATTACCTTTTTTGCATAGTGAATATGTATTATAGCCAGTTATGCAGCCTTAAGATTATTTTGGTTTAATTCATATGCAAAGTTCATGAATATAAGACAATATTATACCTTCGATGATTCAGAATGCAGTGAATTCTATTAAAACCTAGAATGTCCGGCATGCTATGTTAAAAAAGACAGTGTTATCACTTGCTACCTTCAAAGGATAGTATGCAAAGTTATCAGTGGAATGTTACAGAGCTTGTGATAGTTCACTGGAAAATATTTCACAAATACAAAGTGGTTGCCAAGTAACTACTGAAGACTTGGTTCACTGAGAGCCATTTTTGATCCCTTAAAATATCTATGCATGGTTTTAAGATTAAAATATATTTTGTGCTTCAGTTTGTTAGAAAGCTATTTTCACTGCTACAGTTTCATAGGGGACAAACTTTTGCCTTTGCACTCAAGCAAATCTAGGGTGAAATCGTGGTTCTGCCACAAAATCTGGTTTCATGGGACTGAAACTTCCATGAGTAAATAGGAATGCTTTCTAGTTGTATAAATAAAGCCAACAGTCCCTTCCTCTGGCTGAGACTTACTGAAGATTAAATAAGACAAGGAGACAGCAAAAATGGCATTTAGGTTAACTGTTCCCACTGGTTGACTAATGTATATTTCTCTCTCTCTCTCTCCTCTCTCTCCTCTCTCTCTCTCTCTCTCTCTCTCTCTCTCTCTCTCTCTCTCTCTCTCATTATCTCTCAGTGCTGGAAATGAAATTCAGTGCCTTATGCTAGACAAGCATAAAAATGACAGAAATTGGAACTTGTGCATTTTATAACCAGCCAATCTGGTAACAAGAATTGGGGTGAAAGCTGTGAACTTCAAAGCCCTGGGAGTGCCACACTTGATCACCAAACCTCCTGAGCTGATTCCCCTTTCCAGGGAGCCATGGGGTCCTGATTTCACATGATTTCTCAGTTTCACCCAAGATAATGTATATATTAAACAAACTAAAAAGCAAAATGTCCTCACAACTATTTAAGCATGGAACATGTGCTCAATAAGTACTGACTTCTTCCTTGTAAAGAGTGTGAAAAGTGCACTTTTGGGAATAGCTGAAAGTTGCTTAATGATATAAAATGAGATCACATTTAAAAAAAGAAGAAGAAGAAGAAGCAGCAGCTGGGTATGGTGATGCACACCTGTGAGTCCAGGATTCTGGGAGACTGAAGCAGAAGAATTACAAATTCTAACATAGCCTGGTTGACTTAGCAAGACATTTTCTCAAAATACAAAAAGAGCTTGTTATGTGCCCCATGTGAATGTCCCAAGTTTAATTCCCAGCTATCACAAAGAAGTTGTGTCAATCAAAAAGGTCTTAAGGAAGTCAATTCTATTAAGGACAAGTGATTAGTCCTGGAAATTGAGCCAGGACGAGGTGAAGGATTCTCCTTCAAGCCTTGAAGGCGCTAAGTGCCTTCACCTTTCACCAGCAGGTAGCAACCCATACCGTGCCCCTTCTCCTTCTAGGATCACCAAGGTCAAGTTCCAAAATCGGGGTTTTACCAAGTTACCAGCAAGCAGCCACACCTGGGCATCGAACTACAAAGGATGAAAGGGGGAGGGGCTTTCCTTAGGTCACACACACCAGCTTCCCCAGGGACACAGGTCTCCAGGCCTCACCTCACGGTTGAGCGCAGGTAGTAGTACCCGGAGGAGCCGCCGGTGCCCGCCTTGCTGCCCAGCATCCGGTGCACCAAGCACACGTGGTTATCTAGGCAAACACATGCATTTACTCCGTGGTATTTTTGTGCCATTAATCCCACAGTGTTCTGTATACAAGGAAGTGTAGTGATTATTGCCTCCAAGAAAGCTCTGTCAACTTAGTGCTTGGTCATATGCAAGGTGCCTGCGCCCCAGGAGACAGCGGGGTTGCCTAGCATCCCTCAGGACACAAAGCTGTCCTTGACAGCTTTGCCCTGTTGGGGACCTTCCTCCATTTATTTGAAAAATAAAATGGTTGAAGATGTGTTTTAAAATTGCATTGCCACATGATGGCTGTGTTACTGTTACGTGCTGTATTGAAGAAATTTCTTTGATCTAAAGTTGATTTTTCCTTCTGGTTATAAAAATAGGTTAAGGTATTTTCTTGAGCCAGCAAAAGTATGGAAATAAAGCAAAAGAATACGAAGGGGAGGAATTCGGGGATACGAGGGGAACTTACACCTCCACTTGGATATGAGCGTGTCTATGTCCATCAGGAAGGTCAGCAGCTGAAAGGGGACCTGGAACCTAGGCTCTTCCCTAAAGACAAAGAAAACTGTGAGCCGCAGCCAGGAAGTCAAGCAAATCTAGAAACTGGCTTTGCCACTGAAGAGCCCTGGAATGTTTAGGATTGTTCTGTTTCTTCATCTCAAAAACGGGAGTAATACTTTGCAACACTGGCTCAAAGGTTAGAAAGTTTCATTGAATGCACATAAAATAACTAGCCATAGTCAGACTTAAATTCTAAACAGAAGGAAAACATACACATAACCTGGCATTTTCCAGTTGAGACAAGTTTGAAGCTTCAAGATAAACACATTAAAAAACACAAACAAAGCCCGGCTTCTTACTGTCTCTAATGAATTTGTTTTCCTTTGTCGTAAACCCTTCATCTCTCCGGGTACATTTTTTTTTCCCCTAGGACACTTAAGTTTGAATGTCATTCATTTATTCTGAGTTCAAGAAAAGAGTCAAGGATTTTGCTCATGTTGACTCCAAAGAAACAAATTTAAAAGGATTTTTTTTTTTAAATTAAAGTAAGAGAAGGAAATGAACACCTCATAACACTGGTGTCTGAAGCCTGTGGGCTGGTGCATTCCCTATTTAGTCACAAGACGTGAGCTACTAGGAGGGGACTTCACTTCCATGGAGGTGGAGGACGTGTTTACTTAACTCAAATATTTCAGGCAGTAAAGGCAATTGTAAGTAGTGTAAAAGTTTCATTTTATAAATCAGACATAATCGCAAACATTGTTTAGTGACCTAACACATTTCATAATTGAATTTCTGAAAAAAAAAATGATCTTGGGTTTTCTAGAACACGTGAGGAAACACAGTATCTTCTAAAAAAGGATATTTGCATAGTTTGCTAGTGTGCCCAGAACACTTTCAGAGATGAAGTCATATTTTTTTATTTAAAAGTAAAAAGCAATTTTTTTCTGCACTTTATCTAAAAACTCAACTATGTATCAAACTAGGATTCCAGATCCCAAGCTTCCTACTTGGCATGCGACCCATAGCGGCTGCTCGCTGCCCCGCCTCCTGTTCCTGCTGCTCTCACCTGTAAAAGTGTATCATCAATGCCCCCTGCAGCGCTCTGTAGGACAGTCGTCTCTCCCCTGCGAAGCACAAAGCAAGTCCCAACATATGCGGCAATCAGGGCAGTGATACTGACTGAGCATCATCACTTTGCATAATGAAAGGGTTCATGTGTTTTTAGAAAATAATTTAAGTTTTAGTTTACATTTTTTATTTCTCTGTGTGAGCTTGGAAACCTTCATTCAAAACATTATTTGAACGTTGGATTCTGAATTCTAAACACACTATGTATACCTTAGATTCTCAAAATCTTTCAGCATCATCTTATATTAGAAAAACTTGATATAAAAATATTTAGCATGCTGGATAAGTATCAGTTCTCAACTAAAATACTATGATGATTTACTTTTCAAAAAATTGGAGAAGATGCCTTTCAAACTACATTTGAAAGTACTTTTCCCTAAACTTACTTACAATTAGTTTCCAATATAAAAGACCCATATAAAATCTATATAAAATCACACATGTGTACTGTAATAAAAGGTCTTTTACCTCACAGCAGCAAACAAGACTTACCATCCTTTTAGTCCTTCAGGGAACATGCTAAAGCTTTTAAGATTAAATAATTTAACACTAATTTCATGTATTGCTACACTTCCTAATTATGTTCTAAAAATTAACGTGTTACTAATACTTTCCTTAAATAGTGTTTTTCTAAAAAGACTTTAAGGTCTTTCACAAAAACAATTCTGAATCAAAATGAACGGAAGAGATTCAGATAAAGAAAAAAGTCACTGACTAATGAAGTTACTGATCATACTGGTCAATTCGTTTCAAGAAATAGTAGCTCAAGATTGCAAGATTGTGCCCAAAGATCCTTTCCTGGTCTGTGTAAGAAGCATTTTGTTCTTTCCCACCTTCTCAGGCTCACTTTCGGCAGGCACTCATACACCTTGCTAGACTGTGAGGCACTCACAAACTGGATTAGGTCTCCTCAGTCCAGCTGGTGTTGAGCACATACTAGGAAAACGTTTGCTAGTGTTTTGCGATTCAGTGACCATAGAAACCTGCTAACAGAGGACATGATGCTTACCAGTGCTTCTTTATATAAGTAGGACAGCAAATTTTATGCTATTTGCCAACCTAAGGTTTCACAGTCTTATAAAATTACATTTTGATTTCACACTCGTGTATCTAAGGAAACAACCCGCCAGGTAGAAACACCTACCTTTACTAAGGAGATGCTCGTGGCGTTTCTCGTCAAACAAAGACAGTAGCACCTCTCTGCGTTTCTGAAGCTCAGCCATCTGTTCTTCTTTTTCTTCAGACTCTGCTTTAGCCTTTAGAGAAAAATATGGCGTTATAGTCACACACAGAAAGAAAACAGGTGCTGGTTTTAGTGGTTTTGGTTAAGTAGCCTGTCAGGTTGCATAAAGGGAATACTTGGAATATTTATTTTATCAGCCACTATTACAATTTTAATATTACTTCTAATGAACTGGAATCTTACACACACACACACACACACACACACACACACACGCACACACCAGTGCCACCCTTTAAATTTAAATAGTTTGATATGTGCAAATAGTTTCTTTGCGAATGTCTTGCGAGATGGACTACGATGTTATAATGAGAGACAAGGACAAGTCACCAAGAATAATCTAGCATTAAACAGCGATTATTTAACATGAGTTTAAATGAATTCCACCTAGGAAAAGTTAAGAATTCTTGGGGAAACTATTAACAGTATTGAAACTCTGTGTTTCACGCTACATCCCATAAATATATTTTCTTAAATATGCTTACATTTAAATTCCCATGACAGCTCTTGCCTGGTTTAAAGATCTTACTTTTCTGCCTATCACACTTGCCTTTCTCATAAATCAACTGAAGTGAAGCAAATTAGTTCACCTAATTATTTTCAAACCCCAGAACAAACACATGGAATAGGAAGAGCTGCTGGCTTATTATTGCCAATTAATTATTTGTTTGAATCATAACCATTCATGAGAAGGTGATGGAGTTAAAATTTTGAACAAAACTTGATGCAAAGAAAGTACTGTCAGATAATCACTGAAGAATGGACTGCAGTGGAACCATGCTGCCCAGGAGAAGCACGAGCAGCATTAGGAAGGGTAGCTTGGCACGGGCGAGGTGTGGAGCCAGGGGAGACATGGGAGATAGGAGAGGCCATGTGACGATTTTGTCATTCTGCTGCAAACCAGAAAGCTGTATTGGAAGATTTTAAGGGAGACACAATCAAATTTACATTCTGACAAGATGACTCCAACTACCAGGGGGAGAAGAATGAATGGAATGGAGGTATCCTGGGAGGCAGGTAGGTCAGGCAGAGACTTTTCCCATTAGAGCAGGTCAAAAACAGAGGCTGTTTGCATGTGGGTGGTGGTGAGAGAGGAGAGGGAGACCAGGACAGGAGACTTTCTGAAAGATGAAACTGGTCAAATGTGGTGATAGATTAAAGAGGTGGCTAAAACTGAGGACAAGGAGCTCCCGTAGGTAGAAGACTGGACCAAATGGAAGGTGTGTAGAGAAAAACTTCCTGAACACTGAGAAAACCAAGTCATTATGTCAGTGGATGGAAGGGGAAATTTTCTAAGTTTGATTTTATTGTTTTTTTTAAGAAGACCAAGAGGAAATAATAAGTAAAACATTATATATATGTACTGAAATTTAAAGGGATATGCATGCTAGAGATATATGTTGGATGATTACTGGTAAATAACTAGATAGTAAGCAAATTAAAGAGATGGAACAGAATATGCTAAGGGATTGCATTTTAAACACTTACTTTATTGATCTGAGAGACAGTTATGAGCAATTAAAGGAAATAGAGAAACAAGAGCCAGAGAATTGTATGCAGACATTATGACGCATATTAAAACTCAAGGGAGTAAATGCTTGGGTCACAATCAGTGGCCACTAGATTACGCACTGTTGAGAAGCCAAACAGAGCTAACATTAAACATGGGCACGGGACTGGCGAACGGGAGGAGGCTTACCCAAGTGGGCTGATCCGGGCAGGAAAGAGCAGTTATCCTAACTATTGCTCTGAATTTAGCTTTACAAACATCAGGCTACAGGAATGCTCACAATAACCCGTTAAGGTAAACGCTCTCTCTGTCTGTTTTACTAATGGGATAAGGAAAGCAAGGTGCATGACTTGTTTGCTATTACAAAGTTCCACAGCAGAAATGAACTCTAGTCCAGCCAGGGAGACTTCGAAGCCCCCATTTTCAACATTACCTGATCCAACCTCTGAGGAGAGAGAATTTGAATAACTCATCTGAGAAATTTACACACAGACAATGCAGGACATGTGGTTTGAGGAAAATGAGAATCACCAGTATTTCTTAAGCAAAAGCCAATTGACATAATCTGTGATTAGTTGACAGGATTCAGCAGATAAACAGGAGCAAAAGAAAAACAATAAGGTTAAATATATTTAGTTGGCAGCCCCTTAGCTTCTTAGTTATACTTAGAATTAGTCATAATATAGAATTTTTCAAGAGACATAAAAAATTCTATTAAGTTCCATTATTTGCAACAAGCAGAAATCTTCCCTGCAACACAGGGAATTTAATAATGATTTTTATGGCACATTAAGAAAACTGAATTAATCATTTAATAGTGAAAGAAGATATATTTATGAAAAAATAATATGGGCAAAAAGAACAGCAGGCAATATTTAAATAAAATCCTTAATGTTTCTTTTTTGTATATTTATATTAACTCAAGACCTCAAAAATACCTGAATCTTTATGAATTCTTCCTCCAGTCCTTGGATGACGTTTTTTTCAAACTTTCCCCAGAAGTTAAATCCATGTGGCTCCAACCCAGGTGTTCTTTCCAGCCATGCCTAAAATAAATATTATTTTTAGGTCAATACGTGATGAAACTTTAAACATATAAAATATACTGTGCCTAACGTTCATAAACTTGAAACCAGAAATCTCCATAACACTTAAAAACATGGCAAATTTATTTGCATTTTTGCCTCTCATTGCCTCATTTACAAAATAGCAAGTTACATGTTTACTTTCCAAATCTGTAAAGTTGTCATCATTAATGATGTTCATTTCTTACTTCATAAATAAATTTCTGATGATGGGAGCCCCGATTTTCTTTTAGAAATCTAGGAACATTTATCAGCCATGTTTTAATAATGTCTTCCGGTTTGTTTTCAAAATATTCTATTTTAGGAGCAGATGGAATCTGACTTGTATAAGACATGATCTCTTTTAATCTCAGGAGCATGGTTCTCTTAACAGCTTTAAAATTAACCACCCATACAATTACTTTAAGATTCTATAAGACCATGCCATCTAAAAATAAAACTAAGTTTATGTACGTCTGTGGGTTCTCCTTCAGCCTATATTTAGTTTTGAACTTGGTTTTGTGATTTTTTTCTTTCCATTCTTATAAGTTATTATAGGAGCGTATGCAGAATATGATAACATAAATCCACATCTAAAACACCCAGCAAGTTAATAAGCACTGTATAATTTACTAAAAGTTTAATTTGCAAAGGAAAGACTTTCTGAAGTAAATCAGGACAATACAAATCTTATTTAATTAAAAAATCTTATTTAATTACTTACTAATAAAGGTTCAAATTAACCGTCCCTGAAGACTATTTATAGACCACTAAGGATTTAGATATGAAGGAAAAATTTCTTTGTAATTTAACTTAATAAAGAAAAGCACTGAAGTGGAAATTTTCAATTATTTATAAAGAAATAAAATATATATTTCAATAAAAGTTAAACTTATGCTATATTTTTTAAAAATACAGAATATTTAAAGAAATTCATCATAGTAGCCTGAAAGCCAGATAATTAAATATTGCTTAATAGGGATGTTTAGAGGAATTGCTTTAATGTCATGTGATTTTTAAATATTAACCTACAGTTCGTTGCATTATTTTTTTAATTTCCTCAAATACTTAATTTTTAAAAGTTGAATTTATGAGTTAGTAGTCTGTAAATTTTTTTCCATCGTTTCCGCATAACCCAATTTCTTTTGTGGGGAGGTACTGGGACTCAAACTCAGGACCTTCCACTTGCCAGGCAGGCGCTGTGCCACTGAGCTAAACTCCGGCCACCCAGGCCTGATCTAAGTTTTAAACTTCTGTTCCAGCAGCAGCTGGGTGCACAGAATGCACTGATTCCACCGCGGGGCAAGGCAGCGCACCTCCACCAGCTGCAGCAGGGTCTTCTCCTGCTCGGACTTCAGCAGCAGCTCGTTCTCCTCCCCGCTGAAGTTGTCCCGGTAGTGTCGCCTGTCATAGGGCACTCGCACGCTCTGAAGAACGCCTATTTTGTTCTCTAACAGTCGGAATTGTAAACTCTGGAAGCCTGAGGCTGGAGTTAAGTACTCTCTTTGCGGAGAGAAGGGGAGGAAAGATGGGTTGGCAGTGCGCATCACAGCAGTGGTCAGTTCACTAATGTTTTATCAGCAAACCGTGACACTTAGTCTGGGGGACCTGCCACCTGTGCCTGTCCTGCTCTGCTCCCTCCGGCTTTCCCTGCCCTCCTCCTCCCTCCTGTCTCTCAACATCCCCATATCCCTTTCCCTTCCCTAGGAAGTCTGTTTCTCTGTTTACTATCATCTTTCTTTTACTTTGCCCATAAATTATTTGTACTTTGGGATTCACAAAAGAGCAACTGTGCTATTTTCAACCTTCTGTCTGACTTCTTTCTCTTCCCACATGGACTCAAGGTTCCATGTTTTTCCTACAAATGACCTGAGTGTATGATTCTGTATAGATAACAGCACATGGCCTCCTGTGTCCTTAAGGACTGCTGGAAAACTACCGTGGGCAGCCACTTAACATTGGCCTTTGTTAACATAAGGAAAATGAGCCACCCAGACGTCAGCATCTCTGCCAGTCAATTTGACAATAGGCGTTTTATCTGGTAGAGAAGTATCACCGATATTTTGTACCTATAATATGCATCTTAGTATATAGTATATATGACATATTTTATATAAATTTCCATGACTGTCCATTGAACAAATACTATATAGAACCTGGGCAGTGTGCACAGCTGTGCATATGCAAGTGGGTCTAGGCTAGATTTTTCCCTCAGATAAACAGTTGGACACAGCTTCACGATGCGCAAAGACTGTTTACAACTATTTAGTCCCTGCCACAAAGACATTCCTGCACCCTGCCCTTCATCTCACTTCTGAAGTTACTGTGCACATCAATGAAACAGTCCAAGTGAAATAACCAAGATGCTGCCTGTATGAAAAGACAACCCCAAAAGCCTGGATTTCCATCTACAGCTCACCCTGCCACTTAGATTCCAGTGCATGTCTTTCATCTAACTGATGCTGAAACACTGTGTTTTAAAAATCCACCACAAAATACATCTGTATTCTTTATGGTCATCAGACATATTGGGACTGTTACAGCATATCAACAAAGTAAGTTGCTTCAAAAAATTTCTCCTGTGATTTTAGTAAGTAAACAGTATGCTCTTTAAAAAAGATGTGTGTGTGCACCCCTGAACTTGCACACTGACATACATGGCTTGGATTCTCGGTAATTTATAGCTCAAGCCATCATTTTTCTGGGACCCCTCTGATTGGCATACTTCTTTATACAGCACCTCGGGTCCCTCTGTTTTCATTTTTAAATCAGCAACATACTTTGTAGCTATTTTGGCCATCTCATCGTGTAAAATCCTCCTTAGAGAAAAGCAGTATACAATAAGGAATTAAAATTATTTACCCGCATTATTTTTCTATGTAAAAGCAATACATGCTTTGATAACTTCTCCACTGTGATGAAAAGCCCCCAGACCAGCAGGCCGTGCTGCTGCAGTCTGAGAAGCTGCAGCAAGGGGGTCGCAAGTTTGACCCGGCCTGGGCAGTTTAGTGACTCAGGGAGGTTTTGTCTGGACAATAAAAAATAAGAACCCCGCGGTGATGCTGCTGTCGGTAGGGGCCCCGGGTTCAGTCCCAAGTGGGTGGGTCAGGAGCGGTGTCCCTGCAGGTGGGCGGTGCGCTCCTCCCCCGCCCCTGCACCTGAAGTCGTTGAAGTCCAGCGGCGTCATGGTCTCCAGGACAGAAAACTGCTGCACCAGGAGCTTGAGGATCACCACCACCCGCTGCATGCGCGTGGCCACCTTGAGCATGTTCCGCTCGTCCCGGACCTGCGTGGGACCGGGAGCTGGGTCAGGCTGAGCCGCTGCGGCGCGGCCCTGTGGGTCCCGGCTGAGGCGAGACCTCAGCTCGAGACGGGACTCGAACCCGCGCTAGCCGGTCCCAGCTGTGTGGGAGAGGCATCAACCAACTCGGATCCTTTCTCTTTCTTTAAAAACAGAGACGATATGGAAGCGAGGTGGAAGGGAATCCCAGAACACCACTTCCACTGCTTTCAGCACAAGTTTCTGTTTTAATTTTAATTTAGTTTAATTTGCTTCAAAAAAAAAAAAGAGTCCAAGGCAACACGGACCTGCAGGTAAAGAGCAGGCGGAATGTGCTTCGCTCTGGTCCGCCGGGCGGTGAGCGCCTCTGTCCACGGCACGTCCGCGGGCTCTGGGCAGCCACGCGGGGAGGGCTGAGGCCCTGGACCCGGGGGACATCTGCCCGGGACATCTGCCATTCTTGGCCCTCCTCTTCTCCACTTCCCTCTTCTTCTTTTCCCCTTTCTCTTCCTCCTCTTCCTTTTTCACTTTTTTATTGCTCCGTTCTTTGCAAAAGTCATAGTCATAAGAAATACAATTCTATTACCATTAATTACACGATCTCAGGAGCATGATAATCTACCTTGGTTTATAGCACTTTTTTACCAAAAAAGATTATTGAGTTCCACACAAAGAACTTAAAAACAAAGTTTGAAAAAAAACTTTCAAGTCAATGGCACTGACAAAATATCTTGAAACTATCTACTCAGAAATGTTTGGTTTTTTTGTTTGGTTTTGGTTTTTAAGCCAGGTGTAGTGGTGCATCCCATAATCCAGCACTCCCGAGGCCGAGGCAGCCTCCTCTCTGAGTTGGAAGCCAGACTGCGCCACACAGTGAGTTCAAGTCCAGCCCGAACTCAAAAGACAAAAATCAAAAACCAAAAGACAAAAGCGAAAATCAGGCAGCATTTTTTCTTTTGAAATCGTTAGTCGTTTCAATATTTGGTTTTATATTTTTCACATTAATGTTTTCCAAAGCTTCCAAAAATATATAAGACAATTCCATGGCATGATAACTTACATGACCGTTCTGGAAGATCTCTCGAACAGAATCTAATTCCCAGAGAATTTGCTTAAACCAGAGCTCATATGCTGTAATCAGAAAATGCTTGTCAGTCAGAAAGTTACAGACGCTCTGACCACAGTTATGCAAAAGACACATTTCACATGTTTGGAAATAAATGAAAAGTGGAACTTTAAAACTAATACAAGAAATTGAGACCCATTTATGCTACAAATAGCTATTGGTATTAGAGTAGCCTCTACTTATTGAGTGCTCTAATGTGCCAGGCATATTATCGACTTGCTGAACCCTCAATGTTTTTATACTGGCTCCTCTCAAAAAAACTATCATTCAAGTCTTTTGGAAGACAGCACATAACTCAGTCCTTCTTGTAGGCAAGGTGGGGTGGGTGGGGCGAAGCAGGGATACTCAGCTTAAACTGTAAACCAAAAGACTAATGGGCATAAACCTGCATAAGAGACTATAGGTTTTAAGTTAAGCTTGTAAAACAAAGGTGCTTGAAAGGTAGTGTTTTATTTTTAAGTTGAGGAAAACCTAGCAGCTCCTGGTCTCAGGACAAGTGAGGACATGGCCAGAGGTTTGTGGCACTCTAAAAGTGACAAAGCTTCATGTGAATCTTGTTACCAAGTCTGACTTCACTAGATTCGATTCAGCATGATTCAGTCTATCTTCTCTGAGAAGACGCATTTGAGTCTAAGGCTATTTGTTCAAGCCCAAATCTCATGAAAGCGTATATATGGAAAAGTGGAATCAAGGTCCTTCTGTGAGCATTTGTTTCCGCTTTCACAGGAGGCCATGAGACAGGCTGGCGTTAGGCAGAAGTGACATAGCTGGGCATAAGGGAGAAGCAGAATTGGAATCAGTCTGTGTGAACATGGCCACTGGAGTGAACATCACTGTTCCTGACCTTGAATTGGCTCATTTGTGCAGTGGTTACAGAGCTAATCACCCACGCATCGACTCTGAGGCTTTCATGTCTTAACAATTTACAGTAACATGACAAGCTATGGTCTCTTAAGCTAAAGATACTGCCCAGAAATAGGAAATTCAGCCAAAATAAACACATTTTAGAAAAGAGTTACAGTTTAGGCCAGTGCTAGATGTTCTATAAAATTATATAAACTTCATTAGCTTGAGGGATTTATTTCATGGGAATAGTTTTTTAACATTCCACATGGAGAAGCAGTATCATCTACGCTCACAAATGCTTCATGAAATTCTCAGAGATGGAGTTAAGGGCAAAGCTAGAACCTTGTCTCAATTAGGAGAAAAAGGACACCAAGATGACATTACAAAGCCCAAAAGGTGTCCTGAGAGAATTTATCTGACAAAATGCTCTTCAAGTGTTCCTAACAAAGAGGAGCCCCAAACCTCTCACCAGCTGAAGATACAAGATGACAGCTGTCCTCGTTTGGAGGGCAGGTGCCTGCAGACTAGTGATTGTCTAAATTTTTGCGGCTTACCTTGATGAGTTATGATAAAAAGGTGCTCATCATGGATTTTATTTCCTTTTAGTTCACTCTGAAGCTCTTGTGCATTCAAAATTTTTCCCAACTTTAAATGAAAAATAGAAAGACTGATTTCAAAATTGTAAAACTTGAATATTTCGGTCAGCTTTAACAAACGAATGAAATTCTGAAAACAGTTCCAAGCTTCCCAAAACCTTTCCATTTTATTTTAAACAATGAATGAATCTCATCATAAAGAGTGACTTAAATTTATGATTTTTTATTCTTTTCAGACAAAATTTTGTTTGGGAGGATTTAGCCACAAGTCCTATGATGCTCTCATATGATTTCCTTACGATTTGATGAAATAAGAAGGAAAATTAGGCAACTTGCTCAGGCTGTCTGTCATTCCGTCCTGTGCCCTCTTACTCCCTTTTAGAGCCTGTTCTAATCAAATATCGACACGTGGCAGTCCTTAGAAACACATCCATAGATTCAATAAAAAAAGGAAGACAAACATGCGTAAAAACAAACATCCCAAAGCAATCTCCAAACAGTCTGTTTATTGATGATTCTTTTATCTAAAGACTAATGGCTTCAAGAAAATTTTGAATGTGTCTTTATCATTTCAACTTCGTGGTGAGAGATTGATAGTAACATCTTCTGAGATGCCTGTGTAGTTATCTCAGCCCAGGTTTATTGATCATGTTTTATTTATACAAGTTGTGTAATGCCTGCCTTTTATCTATGCTCTTGTGTCCTAACTCTAGATTCTCTGCTTTTGGTTAATTTTTATTTTTATTAGTGCAAGTTTGGAGTATGTAATGATTACACTCATTGTGGGGAGTTGGTCCATGTACATGACACATTTTAATTCTTTTTTTCAGTTCCCTTTCCCCTTCTCTTGATCTGCTTTCACTAAGCTTCTACCAGCAGTGTCAATTTGCACCTAACAATTCTCTGGAATTATTTTTATAAAAGTAGAATAAACAAATTTTTGTTGATAGGGTATCTTTAGGTCCAGAAAACTATTGACTGCAGCGAGAGAGAGGGAGAGAGAGAGACAGAGACAGAGAGAATGAGAGAGAGAAGGGAAGGAAGAGAGAGAGAGAAGTTAGGATTCTGTCACTCACATGCAGGTAGTTGCCATAGAGAAGTCCTCCTTTGCTGGCTTTATTCACACCAATTTGCGATTGATCTTCTTCACTGTCTTCCACAGATAGATTTTTAAAAGCATATCTACAGTTTTAAATGAAGAAAAAAATAAATATTGCAAAAAAATACAGTCAACTAATAATAGGAATGTTTAAAATTCTGTCTCCAGCTCTATTTTTTATAGAAAAAAAATAAGATGGAGAGTTTTCAGACGTCAGGCTGTTCATACTTGAGGCTTTTAAGCACCTACATCCACTTAGAACAACCAATGTCGATACTCACCCGAAGTGTCCTGAGAATGGACAGCCACTCATGGTGACACAGCACCGTCCTGAACCCAGGGAATTGTGACACTGGCTGATGAGAGGTGCTGACTTTTGTACAAGTTCCACAGCTGCCTTTATGGGCCCTACTGGCTGCATCCCAACCAATCAGCACTCGCCTTGAGCTCTCAGCCAATCAGCACTCTCCTTATGCTCTCAACTGGGATCTCTTTTCAATTGGTTCCCAACCAGGTTCTCATTTCAGTTGGTACGGGACTGAGCCTGTGTGAGCTCCAAAGTGGGTTTGTGTTAGGCGCAGTATGTTTGCTAGAAGAACGTGTGTTCTGTCAGACCGAGTCTGACTTGCCAAATTCTACTATCACAGAAGAAGTCATCAAGACTGTCAACAGAAGTCAAGATAAAATTACGCCTAAATATTCAAACACCTGACATGTTGGTGTCACGTTATAAGTAAAGATGATATGCTTATACAAGAATAAGTGCTTTCTCAGACTTGAATATTCTTCCAAGTCCTAATTGGAACACTGCATTTGAGCATCCACAACATGACCGAAGGTGACACGATTGGCCACTTCCATCCCCCATCAACATTCTTCCCCCTTCATCTCCTCTAATACACAGCGGTAGGTAGGTGAGTGCCCCAAGCACTGCCCTGGAATTTTGTAGACAGTGTTATGTAAGTTCACCACATTTCTGTGCTCACCAGTAACGTGACAGAGTAGCAAGATGCCTGCGTACATTGCATCGCAATAAGGCTGGTTTGAACATTAGAACCATGTGCTCACAATTTAAACAAGATCAGTGATAAAGAATCTCTTCTGGATACGTTATTAATTGGTTCAAGTTCCCCAATTGTTCTGAGAGCTATTGACCCACGAGAGACCCCCCACACTTCAGCCACCTCTGCTTGTTGAGACCTTCACAAAGATGCATCCTGCATCTCTTACCATCGACCGTGATGTCTTTGTGAACTGTACCGAAGCTATCAGTAATTAGAAGCTTTGTTTCTGGTCTTGGCCCCACCACTGGCTGTGTGAATCAGTAAGACTAGTGTAACTTTCGGACACATTCACTTCTCCCCAAAGAGAACCGTAGTTGTGTAAGTTAATTGTCATTGTGAATCCTGACCCCCAGTGAAATCCTTCTATTGCTGGATAGTACCTTCTAAGGTAAACAACATACGACAGATGACTTAGAAGGCGAAGCTGTAAGAGAACCGTGGAATCTTCAGAACTACGCATGCATCAGTGATATTCCCTTTGGGATTTTACGGATGACCCTGGTGATGGCCTGGGTGGGACCAGGCCTGGGGTGGGAAAGGCAGGGCAGCACCTGCACCACCTCCTGGTGTCCTGCCCACTGCTTGGAAGAAAGAAGCTTACCGCCTCTCTGACTCTTTTTGATTCTTCATCTTGATACATGGTTGTGAAGAACAGTAGTAAATAATTTGTTCTACTCTTAACTCTTTTGGGCTAAGAAATCCTCTTACTTATTAGTCAACAGGTGAATAAAAGAAAAATAATTTTCTACATAAATTAGAAACAAATAAACATTTTAGAAGCAAAACAATTCCTTTCTTTAAAAGCAGCATTGCACTGGGATCTCCTGAGCAGGACCACCAAGCCAGAAGTTTGCTTTTGCATCAGAAGAGCGACTATTACTTTACTCAGGGCAGTGATTCCAGTGGCGACCCTCAAGCCCACACATTCTTACTCACTTTTGCAATAGACAGCATTATCTAATTGATGACCAGTTTGTTCTGGTCATTATCTTGCCAATATTTAATTTTTTTCACTTGGAATCCATTTTGTTGATCTGTTGTTTACTTCAGATTAGGAAATTTTTCTTCATGTTTTGCACCTAATACATTTCATATACTGTTTCACTGGGGGAAAGGGCTGGAAGTCAAAACCATGCTAGCCAAGTGCTTGACTACTAAGCCATCACTCCCAACTCCTATGAGGGGTGTCTTCCACAAACATTCCAAAAAGGTCAGTGATAACCATTGGTTGGAAGTATTTTTTAATTGTTTCCTTCACTCCCACAGTGAGAGTCTAGAGAGAATTAAAAGCCTTTAGCCAGGTTCTATCTTTGTGGTATAAAAGCAAGCTTTGCAATACTTTTTTGGTTAATCCAATGATCAGTCATCCACATCTAATGATTGCATAATAGAAGCAATGATAGACTCAAGGAAAAGCAGAAAAGATTAAGATCCTGCCTTCAAGAGAAGAAAGATTCACATTGCTAATCATGGATCAGTTCAAGGTCATATCATTACTGGATTGCAAGGAAGAATGAAAAACAATTCTTGAAAAAAGTATGTAAATAAGATGAAGCTAAACAATTTCATAGGCAAGGAAGTGACATTCTTCAAACAGTAACTATACTGCCAAGAAACAAAAACCAGGGGCCCTTCTCACCCTGGCCTGGAAAAGTGGCAGTGGAAAGAGATACTTACAAATAAACTTCATTTTACCTGTCTATTCATTAAAAATAAGCCTTATTTAAAACTCTATTGAGATTTGAAATATAAGTTGTACTTAATTTACAGAATTTTTAAAAAAAGTAAATGAGAAATCTTAAAAATTATATAGTATGAATTATATAAAGGCACTTTGATTTTTATGAAGCTTTTTTACTTGTAATCATAATGCACTGATTAAGTTTTTAGAAGTACCAAGGATCGGATTTATCACTCACACACTACATAAAATAATATGATAAAAAAGTTTAGATGTTATCCCCACGATATACAGTTAGAACCAAATGAAATCGATGCCCGATAGGCCAGAATGGTTAATCATCAGTAATTTTATAATGTTCATGTTTTTATTCCTATTAAAGACATACTAGATATTAAATACTCAAAACAAGGTTAAAGACAACAGCTAAGTCAAGAAAGTTTGCAAAATGCAAGTAGAGAAGTCAGATCTTTGAGAAGGAAGACAGATGGTCTTACGATAAACTTCTCTCTTTAGACAAGAACAAAACCAGTTTAAGTTCCACACTTACAAGCAGAGAACGCAAGACTTCCTATTCTTACTGCAGGCCACTGAATTTCCAGATTTCATTTGACATCACTTCCCATGCAAACATCTCATGACCAATCCAGGTCATAAAGATAAATCTGGAATCTCCTAAAGTCTCCATGCTTAGAGTGACTCCATGTGGGTCCAACTCCTGAACTAATTCACTCTTCAAAATGCATTTCAAACAGCGGGGATGCTTTCCAAGATGCCTCCAAGAAAAGCAGTTTCTTTCTCCTCCATGAGTTCCCAGACTTCGCTCCTATTCGAATTCTCAGCCCTTGCACATTGGATTGGCATCATCTGGCATTGCACCTGCCTTGTTTATGAGCTGTATCTCCTCCGGATTAGCAGTGTGTCACTTCTCTTTAAATCTTGTGAAGTCAGCACGGGTCAGGAAAACGCGAACAGAACAGACATTTATCAACAACACTGAACCTCCTGCTTCCATGACCCTCTCTTCAACCAGCATTAGAGATGGATTCAAATGCTTACTACAGAGGAAACAGCCAGTAACCTGCCCCTTAATCCAGCCTCCACTTTCTCTCTCCTCCTTCCTGCAACCAAGAACAAACGCAAACTAGTCAGATCATGCCTTTATTGCAAAAAGTCTCCACTGTACTTTTTAAAGAGGAAAAAAACACAGAAAAGAGAAAAACAGACAATAGTAACAACAAAAACCCCAATAGCGATATAGAATTTCAAGACAAGATACATATTTAACAATGGTTGTTATATTGCATGTTGTTATCTTCAAAAGATTTGCTCAGATTACCAGGCATAGGCATGCAAAATTGATCAAACAATATGAACACTGACTGTTCCTTTTCTTGAACTAATAGAATGAGTAGTACAATTATCTTAGCTATCATATATATATATATATATATATATATATATCTTAGCTATTTGTATATGTCTTATAGATATATGTGTATATATCTTGTATATATAGTATACATGTATACCTTGTATATGTATAGTATATATGTATATCTTGCATATATATAGCTAATTATCTTAGCTATCTTGTAAATATATAATTATATTTATGTTTTTTTTCCTTCTTTTCTCCTTTCCCTCATCCCAGTTTTTTCCCTTGGAGCAGTTTCTTTCCCTTTCACTATATCAATTATATCTCTCTTTCAGTTTCTTACACTACAGAGGCAATATTGTGTTTACATATGCAAGTCCGATTTATTTCACTTACGAGTAAGGTCTCAAGTTGCACCCATTTACCCAAAAAAGCCTGAAGTTGATCCTTCTTTAGAGCTGAGTAGTACTCCATTGTACAAAATACCAACATCTTTTTCGTCCATTCTTCAGTTGATGGGCACTTGGATTGTTTCCAGGAATTAGCTACTATGCTGTAAACATGGGAGCACATAAAGCACTGTAGGACCAGCAAGTGGTTAAGTGATGTGTCCACCCAGTACATAGTAGTGTATGTCAAGGTTATCTAGGCAGGTTTTCTCCAAATATCTTCCCTGCAATTTTATGTTCCTGTTTGTTTTCTGAAATTTGATCTTTTATTTCTGTGCAACAGAATGTTTGAGAAAATTTCACCTGCTCTCCAACTTAGGACAAAATTATCAATGTTTTATCCTTTTAAGGCCTCTAGAAACTGCCCTAGGGGAGGGTTACAAATGGTGTGTTTGGGCCTCATTTGAAAAACAAAGCAAAATGAATCAAGACAAAGTTACTCAGAGATGGAAAAATAAAATTGTAGAACATTAACAGGTCACCAATCATGGCCAATAAAATGCAATAAATAAGTTCAAAATTTCCCCATGTAGCTGGGTTTTATGCATAAAATAATGTTAGTGTCTCCCTAAATCCATGCCTTTCCAGCTCCTCAGAATGTGACCTCGTTTAGAAATAAGATCTGTGCAGATATAATCATGTAAGGCTTTCATAATAAAACTATCCTGGCCCTACAGTGAGTTATAAATCCAACACCTGATGCTCTTGTAAAGGAAACGGAAAACGAGAAGGAGAAATGCACGCAGAGCTGTTGGAAGAGACACTCACGGGACGTGGAGGTAGGAGCTGGGGTGAGCGCTGCCATGCATTTGTGTTAAAGTCGGGAGAAGACATGGGCTGAGGG